GCGTTTGCTAACAGCCTCGTACGGCGCTAAGCTGAGTTGGCGCGAACGTTTACTTTGATCATTAAAAGCGTTCCTGAAATATTGCGCGGATACCGAATTCGTTCCGCCTCACAGGCGAACGTTAGTATTCTAGGTTTAATTGAATATAAACGGGAAGAAATAAAACAAGCACGTTAGCTAATCCTTCAAGCTAGCAATATGTTAATGAGGTGACAATAGGTCCAAAAAATTTTGAAGCCAGAATTATTCATTCGTTTTGTATATGAATAATTCATAAGCCGTTTTGAATGCATTCATGCAGCCCTCTATTATATACAAGTTCTTTCTTCCGATACCTACTCAGTACTCGGTTCAAAAGTATCGATACCAAAATTAATTGTCGAGTATGTACAGTAAAACCCGCTTATTTAAGTACCTCGATGCGCGTACCTAAGCGAACATAATTACTGATGTAGTTACATCTTCTTGTTAACTTACATAAATACTTTATTAACATCATTTAATGAAGTGTTAATAGTTTAAGACCAAAATCGTAGCATTATTTAAACACACAAACTTTAAAAAAATATATAGTGCAATGGTATGCCATTTTTACATGAATTAAATTGTTTAAAAAGTCAAAGTTGGACATATCATTTTGTACCAAATTCAAAATGATATTGTTTGCCACTTATGTTTTTTTTTATTAATTTTTGAGATTTTTCTCTAACAAACACCATATAAACCTAAGCTTAAGATTTTGTAGAACTCTTAAAAAAATATGCATCATAATTTTAAACTTTTTGCTCAAAAGTGTTTTTTGAGTATACAGTTTTATAGCCCATTCAATTTTGATGTAAAATGTGCAAGTTTCAGGGGGCTAAAAATTACCGTTGATTTTTTAGAATTTGGGTACTTAAGCGGGTTTCACGGTACTTGTATTTACTAGTATCGTTTCGTCCCTACGTGCAATCCGTGCATCGTGCAAGACTTCGAGAATATCCCTAGTTTGTTTTTAGACTTGGAAATGTGTTTTTAATGCATATATACTAATGTATAGTTATTTTGGTGATAAAGTACATTCACGTATAATAAAAAAAAAAATCATTCCGTTCTTATGAAACAAAAAACATTTAGAATTAGTAACGAAAATAGCTATCCCAGCTAAATCACAAAACAAAGCACTACATTAACAGCCGCTTTCACGAAAGCAATTTAAGTGAAAAATGATTTTATTTTTTGAATTTTGTATGGAAATTTACAGAAAATTAAAAATCATTTTCCATTTAAATTGCTGATGAAACCACAGTATAGGTACAGTAATCCAGATAGCCAAAACAAACAATTTAAATATGCTTATTTGACATTTTGTTTGAATGTATTGGTTGATATATTTTCACAGTTGTCGTTTTCGTTAGCCCAAATAAAATCCAATTTAAATATTTCCTTATATTGAAAAATATTTTCAAGTCACATAAAATAAAACAACGAGAAAAACCAAATTCCAAGCAAATCAAGCGTGAAGCGTAAGCGATTATGACCGGATGCAGTTCCTATATAAGTCAAACCGTGTTCCGAATAAAACTTTGAGTGAATAGTGGTGGGCTGACTTTGTAAAATGGTCCGATCGATTAGGCGGTAAAACAAGTATTACTTTGCTTAAGGTGGAACTCTAATTTTCAAATGCACGAAATGCCGCTTATTCACATTTGAAAGAGGATAATGCATGAATTAATGCAAGTAAAGACGGTTTATGCAGATAAGCAAACGCTTTTGTGAACCGTATAAAATGTATGTGCATATATACACATATGCATACATATGTATATATCAAAATATTCAGAATGACAACACGAATTGGTTCAGTCCTCTCTGTTTGTAAACACGCTAACTCGAACAAAATTTAGATATTTTAACGAAAGTCGGCCTCGAAGTTGCCTTTGGTATAATTTAGGTTGGTGTTAAATTTTGGCGAAATCTGCCAATAACCACGCCAACCTCCCGCGTAGTTATCAAAAATATTTTGTTTTATTATTTTTTTTACGAACTTTGCTGTTCAAATTTACATTTCAAATATATCAACAAACGTGTGTGGGTACTTTTGCATCAGTCATTGCCTATGGGTTAATGACAAAAAAATCCTATACATTCACAATATTTCATGTATTAATTTTCAAATAAGCATATTGTCAACGGCTGGTTTACTGTATACTGTGGATGAAACCGGCTGTAAATGTCATTGTTAAATATCTATCCTAAAAAGAATACGGGCCATTAAAATGAACTGAACAAATACATATGTTGCTTTTTAATATTATTAAATCGCATGATAGGCATACAAATTTATAGCATGAGAACATAAATTTTTCACGCCTTTACTTTTCGTGATTTTTTTACATATTTTATAGCGACTTCTTGTTTACTTCCGGTATAAATGTGAATTGGAGGAGATTTCTATACAAACATCGAAATCTACAAATATTGTTGGAGAGATGATTTAGAGCAAACGGCTAACCGTTATACAACTTTATCTGAGAAATTTAGTTAGACGAAGATTTTTCTATCTTCCAAAAGAGAGCGCGCAGAGAGTTGCCTAAATGCGATGGAGTTCGGTTAAAGACTTTGCTAAAGCAGAATTAATGAGCACCGCCAATACCTAATGTCTAAACCACGACTGATTCTGTTATACATACTTGTAACACACGCAAGAATAGTGTAGTATCTATAATGCGATATAATAAATGGTAAATTAGGGTAGTCAGTGGCAAAAATACGTCTATGTTTTTCTTTGATTCGATGCATCGAATATCGATCGATATTTTTCGATGCATCGATGTATGCTTTTGCATAGGATTATTATGTTTCACAAATAATATGTTATTAACAAAATTGTACAAGATTTTAAAAAAATTACTGCGACTGAGCTAATTATGTTTCTAACGGAACTTTTTTGAGCCGTTTCAAGTTTTTTTTTTTCAAATTCACTTGAACAATTGAAAATCTGACGCGACGGTTTAATGTATTAGAGATGTCAGTTTTCAAAAAACATCGATGCATCGATACATCGACTATTTACACATCGAGTGGAAAACTTTCGATGCATCGAAGAAAAACATCGATATTTTCGATACCTATACCTAGCATATACATATTTCGTATTTATTGTTAATTGGCTGGCCAAACTAAAATAAGAATGAAAGTAAGAGGTTGCTAATGAAAAGAAAAGCATTTTGGTTTTGTTTCTGTGTAGCAAAACTGCAATCAGAGGATGAAAGAGATGTCACGAAAACACTAACAGCTGGTGTGAACAGCCTTCAGCCCACAATTCCAAAACTCGTTTTCAAAGTGTTTTCGTTGTCGGTCAGAACATGGTTTACATACATATCGTTAGTATAGTATGGTAGGTATCTCACTCGCTGAAATGCAAAAAGCCACAACTAATGGTGATTTCGTAAGTAATTTTGGTATCGATACTATTGAGCCGAGTACTGAGTAGGTATCGGCAGAAGGTACTGTATCGAAACCCGATTCAGTGACAATTTTATTCCCGGACTTTTATTTTTTAATCTAATTATTGTTGTGAATATCTAGAACTTTTTGGCAGTTTAGTTGCCAATGAAAGAAAGTCCTACATAGAAAGACCTATTATCATCTCATTAACATATCGCTAGCTTGAAGTGAAAAGTTGCTAAGTCCACTTTTTGTGAAAATTCAAATTTGGATATAGGAAGCAAAGTAAATTAAAAACGCAACGTCCCCAAAAGGAATAACTAACGTGCTTGTTTTATTTCTTCCCGTTTATATTCAATTAAAGGCAAATTTACTAAGTCCAAAAGAGGCACAGAAAAATCTATAATAATAATAATAATAATAATAGATTGGCGCTTACACATATGTTAGTGTTTGGCCGAGAAAAATCGATAAGCTGACGAAAAATTCTAAATCTTTCAATTTGCAACGGAACCTTATGCAAAATTCTGGAGGGGAATGTTTTGAAAAGTTTTTTTCCTCCCCTATAAGTTCTCTTCAAATGGACTAAGAAACTTTTCGCTGCCAGTCTCTTAAAATTTACTCCAATCAGATTTCCCATGTGAACTTGCAACAAAGTTCAATTCTGCCATTTCCTTGAAAGGATTTTCCTGATTTCAGACCTTTAGTAAAGTTTATATGAATTTTTCAAATTGTTTTTGTTTTTTACACACCTTTCCTCTTTCAAAAATATACAATTTCATAAAATTTCAATGTCTATTTATCATATTGCTCGAGCGTTAGACGATCTAGAGTCCACACGCAAAAGTACCCTTTACGCCCATTTGGATGCTTAAAGTTGACATTATAGACAATGTTTTTATGTAAAAAAAAATTTAAAGAAAAAAATGCTATAATAAAAAAAAAATCAAAAAAAAAATGTCTACTTATTTTTTTTTTGTTCTTTATACGTTGCATTTTAATGTAAAAAATGTACAATTAAAGCCCATAATAAGACGGAAGAAATACATTTTCTTTCATTAAGTTTCGTTAAAAGGTTTGCAAGATACAGCACTTTAAAGGAAGGTATGTATGATGTTTTCTAAAAATTTAAGTCTCGTGGAAATAGGTAACCCTACGTCATATCGGCAAAATATGCTGCACGTATATTCATGTCACTTAGACCTTGAATCTCTTCAACTATTCATCCAAATCCTGAGAGGTCGAGCACAGAAGTGGCCGCGGTGACATGAAACGCCTCATTTATATTTATAATTGAAGAAATATAGTATTTTTGCATACTATATTTTTTCCAACAGTATATCGATGGCTGAGTGGAAGATCGACCTATCTCGGCTGCCAGTTCGAAAACGCTCTATCTCAAAAAACGTTTAAAGAACGCCCTATTTCAGAATTTTATTGAAAAACACCCTATCTCAAAATTCGGTTCAAAAACGCCCTATCTCACTTCAAAATGTATTGAAAATATGCTGATATAGGGCGTTTTTGAATCGGCAGCTGAGATAGGGCGTTTTGGAAACGAATTCTGAAATAGGGCGTTCTTGAAAAGTTTTTTGAGATACAATGTTTTCGAACTGGCTGCCGAGATAGGTCGATCTTCCACTCAGTCATCGATATAGTACGCAGACCCAAAAAATAGTACAATACTATATATTATAGTACGGTTGGAAATCCTACATGCGACCCACATTTAAAACTGATATTTTTTGGCAGTACCGGTACCTGGCCTTCTTATCATTTACTTAAATGAAGTGGGACCATACTGCATCCTGCTTTCGCATTCCAATCATCTGCACATAGTAAAAATTTGTCAATAAAAATTTTCAACATTGTATAAAGCAGAGCTGTAAAATGATTGAATCAACATAGTCTGCATTCACTCGGCATTCCTTTCAAAATGTTGATTGTTGGTTTGTATAAATAAAAACTTCATTCCTGAGTGGCTTAAAATATTTGAAAACAAACAAACTGTGTTTTGTTGTTGAATGCTAGATTGCCATTCAGTATAGAATGTGAATGTTCAGCAGCATTCGCACTCACACATGATTGTATATTTAGAATGAATGCACACTTTTTTTACCATTCAGTACCAATAATTTGTTCCCAGGGTTGATATATTTTATACTTTAAAGTTTGAACATATCTGGAATTGAAACAAAAACAAATATTTTATTTCCAAAGCAACTTATCGCAACCGTAGAGCAAAATAGACACATCTTGATATGTATACATATCAGAAGAATATACAAAATTGATTTGTCACAATTATTTTTGTATTAAATATTTTTTTCACAGTATACAGTGATCCAGGTAGCCAAAACAAAAAATGTAAACATGCTTATTTGACATTTTGTTTGAATGTATTGGTTGATATTTTTTCACAGTTGTCGTTTTCGTTAACCCAAATGAAATCAAATTTAAATATTTTCTTATAGTGAAAAATATTTTCAAGTCACATAAAATAAAATAACGAGAAACACGAAATTCCAAGCAAATGAAGCGTGAAGCGTTAGCAATTATGACCGGATGCAGTTCCTACATAAGTCAAACCGTGTTCCGAACACAACTTTGAGTGAATAATGGTGGGCTGACTTTGTAAAATGGTCCCATCGATTAGGCGGTAAAAGAAGTATTACTTAGCTTATGGTACAACTCTCCAATTTTCAAATGCACGTAATTTGTGTGTATTTGTTCAGCCGATTATTCACATTTGAAAGAGGATAATGCATGAATTAATGCAAGTAAAGACGGTTTATGCAGATAAGCGAGGGCGTTTGTTAACCGTATAAAATGTATGTACGTATATACACATATATTCAGAATGACGAGATGAACTAGTTCAGCCCTCTCTGTTTGTAAACGCGCTAACTCGAACAAAATTTAGTTATTTTAACAAAAGTCGGTGTCGAAGTTGCCTTTGGTATAATTTAGGTTAGTGTTAAATTTTGTCGAAATCTGCCAATAACCACGCCCACCTCCCACGTAGTAATTAACAATATTTTTGTTTTATTATAATTTGTTTTACGAATTTTGCTGTTCAAATTTACATTTCAAATATATCAACAAACATTTGTAGGTACTTTTGCACCAGTTGTTGCCTATGGGTTAATGACAAAAAAATCCTATATATTCACAATATTTCAAGTATTAGTTTTCAAATAAGCATATTGTCAATGGCTGGTTTGCTGTATACTGTGATTTTTTTCAGTTTTCAAATATGAAAACTTTCAAAACAAAATTTCAGAAGGGTTCCTGTTTTTTTTTAAAGGGGTTGAGGAGTTCCATTACTTTGAGCAACTTTTTTAATTAACTATTAATTTAAATGTTTCCTAAACATATTTACAACGCAGTTCTGCAAGAGGGTACCATAACTTTTTTTTCAAATAACGTATATTTGGAACAACCAAAATTAATCGATATGGATACATACATTTATGTTCGTATGTACTACTTATGTATGTATATATACATAAAAATGCTCAGAATAAAAAGAAAAGATAATTAGTCCATGTCCGTTTATTTGCGTACACGATAACTCTAGCAAAAGTTGAGATATCTCAACCAAATTCTGTACGAGGGTTTTTTTTATCTAGGGCAGCAGGGTATTGAAAATACAAAAGTCGAACAATAACCTGGTCCCTCTCATAAAATGGTAATTTCGAAAAATGCCAAAACTACAATATTTCCTTAATTACAGGAACCAAATTGCTAAAAAACTGCCATGTTTATTATTATAGTTTTGGAAAATGGACATGGGATATATTGCTAGCTTTAAACATCAATTTGCTCAAAACATACGTTTAGAACAGTGTGCAAGCTTCTACCACATGTGTGGTAGATCAACCACGTATTTTTTTTTAAATTTGGGTGTCTACCACATCTACCACACAAGGCTTAAAATCTACCACATTTTTTTTCTTCATGATTATATTCTCTAACTAGAAAACTAATGTTATACTTGTTTTTGCACCAATTGCGTGGAATCTGTACGATCCACTAGCAATTATATTTCCCGATTTAATTTTTGAGTTGTGCTTCTTTTGACGACGGTGTGCGATATGTATACCCAATAAAATATGAATTGGAAAATCTACCACATCTTATTCAAATCTACCACATTTTTTTCGATTCTACCACACTAAAATAAAAAGGGGTCTGCACACAGATTTGTTAAATCTTTTTTTGAGAAAAGTTGATAATTTTCAACTTATTGTAAACCCACAAATCAGGTTTTAGAATCTTTATTAAATGCTTGACCCAATAGCGAAGAAAAAAGTACGAAGAAACTTGTATTAAGAATTTTTATAAATAAATAATAAAATGTATATATCTAAAGTTAGAAGTAGAAGCGTTAAATTTGTTTACTTATTTTAACGTCGATATATAGGTATGTACATATGTAATAATTTCTGCACATACCTTTTATTGGTACATTGGTAATACTTATTTAGAAAGCTGACAATTTTCGAAACAGAGATGTAAAAATCGTTAATAATTAACATTTTTCATAATGACATTCTTGGCAGAAAAATATTTCTCTAATTAATATTTTCATTTATTATAAATATTTATACAAATTTAAGTGAAACAAATTAATGATAACGCTCAATAAACTATTTTTCGTGTTGAAATTTTAAAATCTTTTCAATAAAATTCAACCTTGCGTATTTTTCAGTGGGTTTTGTGTATTTAGAATATTTATATCGATTGATTGGTACTGAATGAATGTGTGCACACATAGCAAAAGCTGCATTCATCTGAATGCTTATTCAGTGTTAAAAGTTAATGTTTCGTCATTCAGTTTTTTCAATCTTTCTTTGAATATGTTAATGTGTGCAATCGTATCTACTTTGAGTGAATGTAGAATTGGAAAATTATAAGCCACATTCCCCAACAAGGAAAAATTCAATGAAAACATAATAACATAAAATTGATGATTTTTAATTTCATATGATTTCACAGTTTTACAGCTCTGGTATAAAGTAAATATACTTCCCATATCTCCAATTGACACAAACGCACAATATGCAAAAAAAAAATTCCGCGAAATCCTGGCGTACAACTAAAAAGAGAATTGCCATATCAAGATTTTTTGTATTTTTGCACAATTGGGAAAATTGTATAAGGCACCTGCTACACGTTCCATATTTATTGTCAGTATCTGGATTGCGATCCAAATTCAAAACTAGTAGTGACAAATGTAGTTCAATGAAAAGACCGGACTAGCGAGCGAGTTCATTGAGATGAACTAGTTCTTTAGTGCATTTGGTTCTGCCCAAGCCTACTACCCAACTATCCAAGCCTATAACAAAGTATTGCAATGATATGTATGCACAGGCGATATACTACTTTTAATACATATTTATTTATTTACATAAATAAGTGAATAGATTCTTGAATGACTATTGGTTTATGTTTTTTTTTGTTATTATAAAAGTTTATCAAAAACATTTGTTTTTGTATGATTTATATTCAGCTAGTTTTTTAGGGAATCGGTATCGGCCGATTATTTGCCCTAAGGCCGATTAATCTGCATCGGCATCAGCCCAAAATTAGGAATCGGTCGGACTCTACTACGAAATTCCCCACAGGATATATGCACATGTATGTAATACATACATATCGAGCAGCAACCGCCAAAATAACGTAAGCGACGTTTTTCTTTAAAAATTTTCGTTTTGATGCAGAAATGTCGCTTACGTTATTCTGGCGGTTAGGGCTTGATATTTAAAAATTACTCGTTTACAGTCTTATTTATACTATACCTTAATGTGAAAATGTCGGCTGAAAATCGGAAAAACTACAGTTTTTGGGACGGTGATTTATAAGAAGCTGTTTTTCATGGCAGAAATACACTAGGAGGTTTGCCATTTCCTGTCAAGGGGCGACCACTACTAGAAAAAACTTTCGATTTTATTCAGTACTTAAGTAAAGTATCGATATTCCGCACTCGGTACTCATATCGCTCTGTCACTTTTCGTCCCACACGTTAAAAAAAATTTCGCACACCAGCGACTTTTTTGCCATGATAGTCTGCTTACGTCTTTTTCAGGAGCAATAACTTTTATCTCTTATCCATACTGGTGCACATAAATTTAAATATGGTTAGATTCTTCCAAATGTAGGTTAAAGGATTTCTAGAATATGAGAAAAGTTGTAATTTTTATACCAAGTTATGCACATAACTACAATACCCCTACTTCGTACATTCTAATAATCTTACTTTTTTGACTTGGATTCCAGCCGATTTTGACATTCGATTCACGATTTTTTGTCTTCAACCAGTCCAACAAAGGCGCATAATAATCAAGTAGGGCGTCACCGCTAAGTCGGTTTTCGTTACCTAGCACCTTCGACAGAGTTTCGGGCAATGGTTTTGAAGAACCCAGAGACATCATTGTCCTAAAAGTATGCGAAAATCGAGTTATTTCATGAAGAATTATTAGTGAGACATTTTTACTTCAGGGCTTCGCCGATTGCGACATTGTCGTAAAAGTCGCAGTTATGTAAAGAACCTCTGTGTTGACTCGCTCGGCAAAACGCACGGTAAAATTGGTATCCCAGAACTTCGGACACGAACTTTCTGTTGAATAAAATTTCTAAATACAATATATTTGTATATACAGTACGCCCTCGGTTAAAGCCACATCCAAATGATTGCCATTAGTCACGCGGTAATTGCATCTTTTTTAGGTTGAAATTTCCTTTCATGATCAACTTTTTGTGACTCGGTTATTGCCCGAATTTTTACGTGTTGTTTTTATCGAGGGCATACTGTACATACATACAAGCGGCATAACTAAATGCACACCAATGCATACTTGGATTGATGGTTTTGCTCCATATCCATATAAAAACTATAAGGGAAATCTATAGCATTTTCGGACCTATCTGAAGGTGGCTCAACGCCGGCAAATTTTTCCATCAGTTCCCAATAATGCTTGTTTATCCTTTCAATTTCCACTGTACCATTAAACAGATCATTCATTACTTTTGTGTGTACGAAGTACAACGGAATGTTGAGCAAAGTGTGAATGCCCTAAAGCAATGAAAAATTTATAATATTTAGATTATCGGAAATTTTTTGGTCAATTATTCAAGCCCTTTCACTATATTAAACTAATGAACTACGTCTATTTTGATACATCCAATTGCTTTACTATTATTTATTATTAAGAAAACTTTTCTTACGTTTCTAAAATGAAATAAATTTATTGACTTAAAAAAGTATGTATCTGTTCAGAAATGCATCAAGCCACAGCATCTCCTCTTTTATTTCTATACACAACCACGGTTAAATACCGTATTGGAGCTTAGTTGCGCAAATGACATATTTCTATCACTTATATTTTAGAAATAAAAAAGACTGATGCTCTGGCTTGATGCATTTCTGAACGGAGGGCATTTTATCAAAGTCAGCTGATTAGCGGCTTAGTTTATGAGGCANCAAAATTGGACTTTCCGAATGGACCACCTAAGACGCAGCCGCGGTCAACATTTAAATGAAATTATCTTCAAAAAGTAAATGTCATGGACCAATCTAACGTTTCAAATAAAGAACCGATGAGATTTTGCAAATTTTATGCGTTTTTTTTAAAAAAAAAGTTATCAAGCTCTTAAAAAATCACCCGTTATAATCCTTCTGTATACATTCGCGACGGAGTTACGGCGTAGAATAATCTGCATTATTGAATCTTCAAAAAATATATACCTACTAACATATCTAATAATAACTGTCGATTTCACGAAAACAATTTAAGTGAAAAAGGATTTTTTCTGTCAGTTTTCATATTAAATAAAAATAAAAATTATTCACTTAAATCGCTTTCGTGAAACTGGCTGTAAACCTACCATTCTGAAAAGGCGATTCATTAAAACGGGATCTGAAAACTGAAAATCTTTGGAAAGTCCGATAGTTTGAAGATGTTTTGGAGTTGACGCTGATAAAATAACAGCTTCCCCCACTGGGTACTCCAAATCATAAGAGCTGAAGAAGTACGATGGTAGATTATCCTTTTCTTTAGCGTAATGAACCCGTCCTAAATATCCGTGATTCTGCAAAAACTTTCTGAAATCCACTTTCTTGCAGTACTTCATGTAAACATGTGGGGTCAAATCGAAAATGTCAGCTCTGCAATCCCCACTCTCAGCACTTTCGTCTTGCTCTTTCAATTGTTGTTGATAAAACGTGCTCGGCAACTCTTTGAAACCAAGAGATGTATAGAAGGTTCCTGCTGTGTCTATTATTTCTTTTGGGTCGAAATGTTGGACAAAGCTGTCATAGGGTGGAAGGGTTTTCTTTGGAAAATACGGTTCGATAACACTGCTGGCCTGCCACGCTTGCTCACGTACTTGTTGGAATAAATGGTCTGGAATTGGCCCTCTAGGGTTGACAACCTCTGCCCCATACTTTGTATAGAGCTCTCTTCTAACGAATGCGTGTAGCTGCTTATATGCTGGTTTAATTTCTTCCATCACTTTGTCCATCTCTTGCAAAAATTCTTTATTGTTGTAGCAGCGAAACCAGAACTCAAGCACCGGGATATCTGCATGTATAAAAAATAATAACATAATTTCGAGAATATGAGCGCGGTGTATAGGGAAAACTACCTAAGATCTTGGCAGATTTTTGGAAAGCTTCAACGATGGTATAAAAATTTACAGAAGACCACACCAGATTCTTTTCTCGCCAAGACTCCCAATAATATTTCAGTTCCCCTGAATCATTGCTTTGCTGAAAAATCTTTTGAATATCAGGATAGTAGGCCAGCGGACTACCGTCTTGATCAGGCATATTAGCGCCGCCCAAATAAGGTTCAATATCTCTATCTGTTGAAAGTTCTTTAAGAGCTGCAAAGTTTATCAGCACCGACGAGAAGTAATCCTCTCCTAAGACAAAAAGTCCGCCAGCCCTACGAAGATTTTGCAACGCTGCTTTAACTTCCTCGTCGGAAATATTCTCCAAATCAAATTCCCCAGCCTCTTCGGAGATTTTAACTAGTTCAGCAGCAATTCTCTTTACGGTAGTCAGTTTGGAGAAAATCGTTTCGAAATCCTCATCATCTAAGGAGGTATACGTTTCCTCAGCAATTTGATTGTATAGCTTGTAATAACGCGAGCTGGCATCAGCGATGAACTTTTTGGCATCCAATTGGTTGATTGCAGCTCCTAGTGTAATCTGCAATGAGCATAAGTGCACATATGGGGAAATCTTTTGAGACGGGGACATTTTGCGTACTGGCATATTGTTGCCACCACAAAGCAGCTACACTGCCAAGTGCGGTTTCTACCCACATAGCATTTGGAAGATTACTTTAATAAAAATCACCTTTATGAGTCTTCTTCGATCACTTCTGATGATTAAAAACTGATTAATCGCTTCCGCGATTAAAAAAAGACCCGAAAATGACTCACGCTTACGCTTGAAAAACGATTTATTGAAAATATATTTAAAAAAAAGGGCAATCACAAATTGATCATTCTGGGGATTGAAATGTGCTTTTTCTTTGCTTGTTTAAACAAACATTTGTTTCAGCTGCTTTTGCTTCTAACAGCATAATTTTTTAAGCCTATGTCAAAACAAACAAAACAAAAACTTCCTTTGGCCGCTATTGCTGGTTTAGAAAAATTGGATAGCGAGATACAACACAATGAAGGCACTCTTAAGCAATTTGTATGTTTTTTATTTAACTTTTTATATGAATATGGTTATACAAGTATTTTTATAAAAAATTTCAGAAAGAATTCATAGCAAAAACAGGCGGTGACGGACCCGCAAAATTTCTAAGAACCGCAGTCCGAAAAGTATTTTGTGACGAATTGGCTTCTGCTTACAGCTGGAAGGGGACCCGCACTAAGCCAAGCGCCGAAAACTTCTTTCTAATAACAACGATTAAAAGTAGGTACAGTGTCGCACAAAATCATCGGCACAGGGAATTTTTAACAATATGTGGAAAATTTTAGTTTTGGTTGTTTTTTTCGACAGGGTAGGAATATGATGTATTGTTAAACGATTTTCCGTCATCCCTAGTCAATTTTTGGTTTGGAGTCAAACCGGTTTTGGCGTTATGCATCTTCAGTGTTATATTTCGAAGAAGACACTGTAGATGACATAACGCCGAAACCGGTTGTCTCCAAACCAAAATTGGCAAGGGATGACGTGAAATCGTTGCACAATACATCTAAATTTTTTAATTTAAGTTTTTCCGCTAAATTTTTATAAAAATATAGTTCATGCAACAACAAAAAGCAGAAAACCAAGTCTCTAAATTTTGCGGAAAACTCAGAAAAAGCCAATAAAATTGCATACATATTTTCAACTTTTAAAAATTTAGTTAATATCTCTAGAAAAATTCTAAGTATGCAATTATTTAACCCATTCAATTTTAGTAGGTAAAGAAATGTAAGTTTGAAATTTCCAAAAAATCGCAATGGTTTTTGCCATTTTTTCACGCAGTTTCTTCCATACAAAAAAAATTTCGAACATGGAAGAAACTGCGAAAAAAAACAACGCAATTTTTTAGCAAAACGAAAACTAACGAGATCACTGGAAGAAAAAACGGCGAAGAACTCGCGCAATTGATAAAATGGATTTTTTAATTTAAGTATTTTTAACTTTTATACACATAGGGATAAAAGTATTGGCACAGAGAACTTTTCACAATGTATGCAAAGTTTTTTGTTCTAATTTCTTTTCGCAAACTTTTTATAAAAACATTGCTCATATCACAACAAAAATATAAAAATAAACTTTCAAAACTTTGTGCAAAACTCAGGAAACGTCAACAAATTTGAAACTTTTTAAATAGATTTTGTAGCCCATTAAATTTTAGTATACTAAAATGCAAGTTTCAAGTTGCTAAAAAATCGCGTTGACTTTTACCAATTTTTTTCTGACGTGTCTTCCGTATAAAAAATGGTGAGCATACTTTGTATGGAAGACACTCTGCGAAAAAAATGCCACATCAACGCGATTTATTACAAAATCTATTTAAAAAGTTTCAAATTTGTAGAATTTTCCTGAGTTATGCACAAAGTTTTGAAAGTTTAATTTTATATTTTTGTTGTAATATGAGCTATGTTTTTATAAAAAGATTGCGAAAAGAAATTAGAATAAAAAACCTTGCATACATGGTGAAAAGTTCTCTGTGCCAAAACTTTTTCACAATGCTTTTAACTCTAATAATGGACCTTCAACTCTAATAATGGATTTCTTAAAAAAAAATTTTGTTATTTCATTATCGCGTTTTTGAACTCAATAAAATATGTATGCTGATTTGCTAATTATAAATTAATTTAATGTTAAATTAACAAACGATTTGAAAATAGACTGAAAAGGACTTGAAAAAGACTCGAAAATGTTTAGAAATACGACTAAAAAATGACTGGGAAAAGANTTTTATAAAAAGTTTGCGAAAAGAAATTAGAATAAAAAACCTTGCATACATGGTGAAAAGTTCTCTGTGTCAATACCTTTTCACAATATTTTCAACTCTAATAATGGACTTTGAACTCTAATAATGGATTTCTTAAAAAAATTATTTTGTTATTTCATTATCGCGTTTTTGAACTCAATAAAATATGTATGCTGATTTGCTAATTATAAATTAATTTAATGTTAAATTAACAAACGATTTGAAAATAGACTGAAAAGGACTTGAAAAAGACTCGAAAATGTTTAGAAATACGACTAAAAAATGACTGGGAAAAGAGTCGCAAGTGATTTGAGTTACAACTGAAAAATGACTCGAAAAAGGCTCACAAAAGCTTACAAATAGGCCTAAAAAATGACTCTCAAAAGATTAGAAATGCAACTGAAAAATGACTAGTTAAAGACTCGAAAACGATTAGAAATAGAGCTTATTAATTACTCGAGGAAGACTCGAAAGTGTTTAGAAATACGCCTGAAAAGTTATTCGCACGAGACTCAGAAATGATTGTAAATACGACTCGAAAAAGTGTCAAAAATGGTCAGAAAAGTGGGTAGTAAAAGACTCGTCAAGAAGAGTCGCGGCCAGGGTACCATTTTCTAATGACAAAAGAGTCTTTTATGATCAGAATATGAGCGCATTTATGATTATTTTAATCGCGGAGAGGACTCAAAAAAGATTCGAATATGATCAATAATTTCAGAAAATGCTGGGTGGGTATACCTTCGTTAACAATACTTATGTATATGTGTAAATATCAATAAATACCCTACAAGAATTGTGTGATGGAAACTAACACATTCTCATTTACCTTACTAACACATATACAAATTTTTTGTTGGTTAAAAAGAGACAACTAAATAATGCCATAAGTCGGAGGAAGACGGAACACAAATGTTTACATCAGATTTTTCACACTGCCCTTTAGAATTTGATAGAAACTTGTAGGTAGCCAGTGACAGAAATCTTTATCAGTCTTGCCACTCAAATGATAGTCACTGTTCTTTCAGGGTAGTTATTAAAAACAAAACTAACGGTTTAAATGATTAGTTTACTTGCTAAAATCGAAAAAATCAGGAAATTTCTAATGCAACTCGCACAAAATTTATTTATTTATTAAGCTCGGGGTTTTCAGACATTTTGTAGGTTGTGTGGAATAAAATGACAGGTATTCAACAAATGTGCCAGTTACCAAATGCGATAAAAAAAATGCTGCTCACAACTGTAACTGAATTTCGCGTATTTTATAAAAACGTGAATTTTCTTGTGGTAGTCGTTGAGCGATACTTATTTTACATTTTTGGGTATAAAATATACTTTTTCAATTCTTCAGAAGAAGAATCCTAGGTTAAAGGACAATGTGCTACTTTTCATTGCTGCAAAATCTTCTTGAGAAAACGCGTGATCAGTGCGTAATTTTTTACCTGATATTGATTTTCGTTGAGCACAACCAATCAAGGGCGAAAAAATTCATAAGCCCTGGTATAATATTTTGGGTTTGTGAATTTGGGTCTGTGTGAAAAATGCTCACCTCTAAAAATTATTTTACTTTTTCAGTACTGGATAATCTTTACTGATATAAATGCGAAAGGTTTATTTGTTACGCTTTCACGCATTAACTACTCAACCGATCTTAATGAAATTTAGAAAACGGGTGGCATTTAGCTCAACTTAAAAGATAGGGTAGCTTTTATCCTGACTAAACAAAGGGGCATGGCACCCCCCATTCAAACTGAATTTTACATACTGCATACCTCTGGAAGTATTGTGGTAGAGTACTGGAACTTGGTATGGAGATATATGAAATCAATTCTATAACCATGGAAAAAATGTGGGTTCTTGGGAAAGGCCCGTGGTACCTGCCATACAGACAGAATTTTTTATACTACCACCTGTGAAAAAATTAACATCAATTCAAAGTATTTTATAAGTTAAACGAATTTTTATAAAATAGATGTCGATTGAGTCGTAATATCCCAGAAATGGTGACTCTTAGGACAAAAAAGTGTTATAACGGGTTTTAGAGAAAATTGCATGATCTACACTTTTGTCTTACCTATTTTTATGATAAACCTTACGGTTGGCTGCAAAATTATAAACATCAATTTATGGACTTTTGACCTTGAATATTTTTTTTACAGATCTGGGATCGATAAGGACTTTTCACGTTTTATTTATAAAAGCGTTCGTAACATTCGTACCAATTTTGAGCTTTATGCGAGTTACTGCAACCATGAAAATCTAACTTGACCGGGCTAATAGAAAACAATTTTGAAAATATGTTTTAAATAGAGTTGCAATTAAAAAATATTAGTTACACGCGTTATACTGTACTTCAATTCGGTTGATAAGTGATCATTTATGAAAAAAAATTGTGCTACTATGTTGAAAAAAAAAAATTATAATTGAAAAGTGCCCGTCTCATAAAGATTTTCCCATATGTATATGGGGCGTTCCATACCAACACGGACGGGGTTCACACTTCATGTGTTTGATTTGTTTAAAATTTATAGAGTTGATGCATAAACATAAATAATAAATAAATATGAAATTTGAGCTTTATTAATACATTTCTAAAAACTTTACGGCACAAAAACAAACAAATCGATTGAATAGTCTTCCAAATATCTCGAGAACAGTGTGAGGAAAAAATTTGAAAAAAATCTCACACACATACATCAAAATTTTCTATGAAAAGAAATATTAAAATTTTTTTTTTACTTGAAAAATTTTTCACACACAAATTTTTTGATAAAAAAATTGTGGTTTTTTGAATTTTTTTGAGATGGCATATTTTCAAAAACTAATTTTTTCTATCAAAAAATTTTTATGTGAAAAATGTTCCAAGAAAAACAAATTTTAATAATTTAAAAATATTTCTTTTCATAGAGAATTTTGATGTGTGTGTGTGAGATTTTTTTCAAATTTGTTCCTCGCCCCGTTCTCAATATATTTTGAAAACTATTAAATCGATTTGTGTTTGTTTTTGTGCTGTAAAGTTTTTAAAAATGTATTAATCAAGCTCATATTTACCTTTGATTTATGTTTATGCATACACCCTAAAAATTTGAAACAAATCAAACACATGAAGTGTGAACCCGTCCGTTTGGGTATAGAACGCCCCATATATGTATATACGCGTGTGTATGTCACATTGGAATGTCCCGGAATCCCGGATTTTTTTCAGGATTTGTAATTTGCACTGATGGCAATAATATAAACTCCTTTTCTTGACCAGAATTGGCTATATTTCTTTTTTTATTTAATGATTAGTATTTTTTATAAATGTGTAGCTCATTATACATATAACACCGCGCGATAGTAAATTTTAAACACAAATATCAATATATTCGCGGAACCATGGACCAAATATAGTCAAATTGCGTTTTTAGTTTTTCACTCTGACGTCGGTAATTCAAAAATGATTTAAAAAATTCAGAGAAATGTGCCTAGAGAAGAAGTATGGGTATAAAATTAATGAGGAAATCCTGTAGAATTTAAACAGATTCAAGTTTCTGGCAGTGATGGGACTTCTACCACATTGTGGTAGATCTGCCACTTTTTTGAGGATCTCCCACATTTACCATACAAGGTCTGAAATCTACCACATATTCGCGTTTTTGAGTACATAGTTTTTTTTCTCGACATAATTTTCTTAATTTTAAGAGCAAAAATTGTCCAACAGTAAACACTATATGGTAACAAGCATGATACAAAAAAGGAGGTAGTTTCATTCAAGGATTTTTCCCGCCATTTGACTTTTGCTGGCAGACATCTCTATCAAAATCAAGCTACCAGCCACAAAAAAATAGCTATATATTTCGACTGCCTGCTGAAAAATTTCAAGCAACAGATTTTAAAACGAAAAATCAGCATTTTTAATAAAATCAAAAAAGAATTGCGCATTTGAAAGCTGTAGGAATCTTATAAATTTGTGCACGGATTTCAGATCGAGATTTTTAAAATTTTCTCGTTAATTAAAAGTGGTTAGAAGCTTGTAACGTGAAGGAAGAAAATTTTCCCGAAGTATGATTTGTTTGTTCAAAGCAATATATGTATTTCCTCAATTTCAGAGGTTTTGGAGAAACTCAATCGTATGTAAGTATATTTGCATACATATGTACATTATACTACATATATCACTCCCCACACAAAAAAAGCAGTCGTGTTTTTCCATTAGAATTATAAAATCTATTATATTTTAACACCTTCACCAAAACATTTCGGAAAAATATTGAGATTTACGTCAGCTGGACCGATTTGAAAATACCTCCTTGAGTTTTTTATGAATAAAAATAGATTTTTTAAAGTATTTTTTTTTTTAAATCACCTCAGATGGCAAACCAGCTTAAAAAACCGAAGCTTTTTTGGTCCAATGTACATACATAGTACATGAATAGAAAAATTTCAGATATTTTATAAACGGATTGTAAATCTTTACGGCCCTGACATGCCAGGTTTCCTTAGGTGAATTAAAGTAATTCGCTATTTGCTTGTTACCACGCAAACCTTCTAATCACAATTATTGCACATTTTAAAACTTCAAAAATTAACTATTTAGGATTGTCTGAAAAAACTAAAAACCATCAAAAACTATAGAAACTCCCATCCCAAAATACCGTCAATTATATTTTGTTAATACCAATGTGGCAACGCTACAATACAATTTATGAATACAATTAATGAAACTTCAAAAATGGCTGTAACCGTCAAAAAAGTTTGAAGTGAAACTACCTTCTATTTTTTTATCTTGGCAACAAGAATGATACAATACAAGATTCCGCATTCCCGGCGGCGATGAAAATTCTCAAGTAAAAGTAAAAAAAGCCGAATGGGAGGATAAAATAAACTGGAAAATAGTAAATTTTCTCAATAATAAATTTTTCGACAGGAAACGTTGTTTCGTTATGTTAAATTTTAAAATATATGATTTATAAAAAGAATTAATAGCGAATATTAAAAAACGGCGATTTTGTGAAAGTATTGACAAATTACAGTGCATCTAAAGTTCCTGAGGCGTTGTTTATATTTACTTGAGAATTGTCAAAATTGGCAAATCCCAAGTAGCGGTTTCTGTAACGTGCCACATTTGTTCGCTACATCGTGATGTGATAAAATGAAACGCTGGCATCACTCCGTAAGGCTGCAAAAAAAATTATGTTCGAAAAATATCTTGATATGGAAGGAACCGCTTTACCCTGTCAAGGAAAAAAATTGCCAAAACTCAATGCAATTTTTAGCAACTTCAATCTTGCACACTGTTATACTAAAATTAATTTGTATTTTTATTATCTTATTACAAAGATTGCAATTTAGGTAAAACCTTACAGAATTTCTTTAATTTTTGTACAAAGTTTGATCCAAGACCCGAGATGTACCACTTTTTTTTGAAGTCTACCACATTTTTTTCCAGATTCTACCACACAGAATTTTTCTAAGTCCGATCACTGGTTTCTGGTACAGAAGGGCTGGTAAATATTGAAAAAGTCATTTTATAATTTTATCCTTGAAATTTAGCAATATTTGTTTTTAAAAAAATTATATGTTAAGGGCTTATATAAACTCGATAACATCCCCGAATTTCGTTCTTCAAACTTTGTCACCTTAACAACTAACTATTCGTCTTTGTGAACCCAAAAAATTTTAATTTTTTAAATTCTAAAGATATTTCCTATTGCATTTGTTACCCATATTTTTTGAATAATTTTTGGAATTAACCATATCTTTGAAATTACAAAGTCCTTCAAAATAAATCCTGCGGTCAGAGAAAAAATAAAAAAGCCAACTAAAAAGTAGGTTTCAAACCCATTTATTTATTATTTATTTAATGGTAGGAGAGCTTTTCAAACAATATAGAAGCAATTATTTAGATTCAAGTTGTTGAAAAGAAATGAATATTTAAATCCCGGGACTAATCCTGGGATCCCAGGATTGTGACAACGTAATTCCGAAAAGTCCGGGATCGCCGGGAAAAAAAGCTGAAAAATTAACATCCCTAATGTCACATAAGAGGTTGTCGCCGTGATCTATTTCCAATGTTTGATTTCATATTTCGCACGCTACGCATTCACTTACGCTGATAGAAGCGGTAAAATAAATTAACACAAAGCTTAAAATTTGCCAACGCATTTTCCGTTTTTGCGACAATTATTTTCAGGAGATTCAATCACAACGTTTAAAATCCAACTGATCATTCATACTTCGGCGACTTTAAATATATTCGACCTCATTGAATTCCCAAATGAAATAACATGAGACAATAATTAAATTCTTATCTATGCTCAACGATGATGACATATAGTTCGCTGTATTGTAAAAGTAATTATCACTAAAACTACAAAAATCTCTCACAAAAGATCCCATTTAAAAACTCAAATAGAATATTAAATATATTCGATTCTCAATCGACATAAGATGAGACTATAATTAAATTCCTATCTATGTTTGTTCAACGATAATGTCGTTAGTTTGTTGTACATATTGTAAAAGTAATTAACATAAGAAGGAAGTCTCACACATAAGCTTCCATTTAAAATCTGAATTCGAATTTAAACATAATGAGGCATATTCATATTCAAAATAAAGTCAACTCTAAAGTTAGTTGCAGCTATTTTAACAGATATTCAATTGAAAATTATGTAAAAAAGTTGAAACTTAAGGCGGATCTCCATAGAATACGTATTCTTCATTTGACCGAAAAATTGAATATGTATAAAAATTTGTATGGCAGCACTTGCAGACAACGAACGAAAACGTAAGAGAGTTGTATGAATTTTGACTTTGGAGAACGTGTCAGCTGACACGATCTATCTTATGTGATCTGCGTTGTAACAAAAACTCACCACCGCATGACCGTGACGTAGACGTTGCCTCTCTCTCTCTATCAACAGCAAACTTGATATGTTTGTACGCACTTCTACGCTATCACTGCAGGGAAACCGCGGACTGGTGAATCAAATTTCTAGTTCCGTACTAGGTCTTTATCGCCAAAAAGGAACCAGTCCGATAGGAACTAGATCCCCCCAGTCCAAAATTGGCGAAAAGTGGTACTTTTAAAAAATTATTTTTTTTTTCAGTTTTTTCACTAGAAATCTATATCTAAAGTGACGAATTTAGAAATGGTTCGGAACTATAGAAAAGGGGATGCAGAACGAACTAGATCTCATCTGGCGAATTAGTTCGGANGGGATGCAGAACGAACTAGATCTTATTTGTCGAATTTAGAACTAGTTCGGAACTATCGAATAAGGGATGCAGCGGGGGGCTTGTTTACTTTACATAGATATGTGTTCGGCGGCTTTTTCGTTCAAATACGCTTCTATTCTGTGCTTCGCAGATGCCTTTTCATAGCTTGGTAATACAAAACTAAAATTTGTGTTAACATTTCAACATCTTGGGACCGTCTGGAAACCTCTGCAAACTCAGCTACAGCTAAAGGTATGTAAACGTACATTTATTCATTCAAACGAATTTAGTTTCAAATTGAAAACACAGTTCTTCCAAAATAACTTAAAATCGCGCCACGGATGAACCAAAAAGATTGAAAAATCATGATACTTTTTTCTTTCGTCTGTCGATTTTCGAACTGGTTCGGAACTATCGAAAAAGGGATGCAGCTGGGGGCAATTGACATTTCCTAGGACATCGCCATGTTAAATTCGCCAGTTGCTTGCATGCAAAAGAGATTTATCGCGAGCCAGTACTGGGTCTAAATGTACTAGAAGCGCACCAGTTCAGAACTAGAGATTTTCCGCACAGGGATGCTACGTACACATTCGTGGGTAACCGCGCTCTAAATGTCAATCGCACGCATACGGTTACGCATGCTATGGAGGTCCGCCCTAACTTTACAGTCGACATTAATTTGGCTCGGAATATGCCCCACAGTCTGTAGCATGTACTATGTGTGCGAACATATGCTTACGATATGATTTTTACTCGATTTTACATACATACTCAGCCCAGAAGATAATTTAGGTAGGCGTTCTTAAGTAAAGACATTCTAAGAGGCCTAGCCAAGAATGGCTGAAAAAAGTGCTTCCTTGCATGCCTTCTAGAAGGCCTTATCCATTTACAATTCATGCGAATGCATAAATTTATAATATTTAGCATTACAAATGAATTTCAATAAACATTTTAAGCTGCAATAACACATATTTGATATAAAATACTTAAAAGATGTATGATTTTTATAAATTAAAGAAGGAACTATAAAAGAAGTCCTCCAAAAGGCCTTATAACGTACGTCCTATAAAATCCCTTCTGGAGGGCATTCCATGGGTAGCGAAAGAAGAACCCCTCAATTTGTGCCATTCCATACAAAAAAGAAAGGAGAAGGAAGAAGAGGCCTTCCACTCTACATTCCTTTCTCCATTCTTTTTATGTATGAAATGGCACAAATTGAAGGGCTTCTTCTATCGCTACCCATGGATAGGGACGTTCCGATACCATCAAATTATCGATACCTACTTAAATGAGTTTACTCAAATCGTTATTTCGATACTACTTGTATGAGTAAACCGAAAGTATCGATACCTACTTATATCGATAATCTTTCATCCTTTTATATGCAAAAAAGTGAAAGTGATTTTCCGGCGTTTTTTTGTGACATACCTTTTGCGTTATGCGTTTTTCACGCAAAATCCGAAAAATCACGATGCATAGCGACACATGACTTTAAACACTTTTAATTTTTTATTTGTATTATTTTGTTGGATATGAACGAAAAATAAATAGCAATTTATATTGTATTTACAATACAGTGAGTGGGAGACCGACCTATCCCGGCAGCCAGTTCGAAAACTCCCTAACTCAGAAGACTTTTCAAAAACGGCCTATTTCAGAAATTGATTGAAAAATGCCCAATCTCTGAAAACTTTACAAGAACATCCTATTTTATAATTCGGTTCAAAAATGCCCTATCTCAACATTTTTTCAATATATGTATTTTCAGTTGAGATAGGACGTTTTTGAACCTAATTCTGAAATAGGGTGTCCTTGAAAAGTTTTCTGAGATAGGGCGTTTTTCAATTTCTGTCTGAAATAGGGTTTCTTGAAAAGTTTTCGGAGGGCGTTTTCGAACTGGCTGCCGAGATAGATCGACCTTCCAGTAAGGTGTCGATATGTATATTTCGTCATTAGTAACGATATGTATATTTATTCATTACTAACAGGTCTCTATGGAGATTTGTGGAAATTCTTGTATTGCATATTTCATGGGGCAATATTTTGTTACCAGCTCATGAGATGGTAACCAAATTTACCGGTTACAAGAGCGCACATAATGCGAAAAAGGTTTAAAAATTTACAGACACTTTAATTACCGGTTACACAATTTATGTTACCAGCGCAGAATAGACATGTTAGACAACAATTTCAACCTTTGAAAGGTTCCCACAAAACTTTACGGTTTTAAAGCATTGCTTGCACTTTGCTGTGGTATCAGTAATTTTGTAAAAATATGTCCATACTTTAGGTTTTGGCGGTGTCATTGCTTAAAGCAATTATTTTTCATAAAAACGACGCTGACAAGATATGGCACTTGCTCAAATCGATTCGATACAAGTACTTTTCTTTCGATACCAAGTATGAATCGAAACAATGATTCGAGTAAAAAAAGTAGTTGGTATCGAAACAAAAGTATCAAGTACGTACTCGTACTTACTTGTATCGGAACATCCCTACCCATGGAAGGCCTTCCAGAAGGGCTTTTATAGGACGTACTTCGGGAAAAATTTCCTTAAATTGGGCCCAAATTTGAAAAAAAAATAAAAATTAGGGCATGACGAGGAGCTTTTTCCGATTCTAAAAGTGAAAAGCCAAGAGCGCGGAGGCTTCTACTTAAAAATATTAACTTTTAAAGTTGCACAATTCGCCATACAAATTTCATTAATTACATGGAAGTGTTGGAAATGAACACAGATGTTGGTGCTGGCAGATCTTACAAAAAAAAAGAGTCGCATGCGAAGTATTGATTTTAATAGAAATGATCCAAGGCGAATTAATATAAGGTGATAGCAGGAGAGCAAAAACAAAAATTTAGATGTATTTTGTTTTTGCTTTGGCGGCATAAACTGCCAAAATCTGTAAGTGTGTGTGTGGAAATTCAAACAAAATTTTTTAATTTGACATTAGAAGCCGTGCGGCGAAACACATACACAAAATCAGCTGATCTAGTAACACCACCTTATATAAATTCGCCTTGAAATGATCATTATTTTCCGAAGTATCGATTATTATGAAAAAAGCGCCGCAGCCGAAAATTTTGACTATAAAATCGCTCCATTTTTTATTAAATATAAAAAAAAAACACAGAAACTTGCACGGAGTCGCTAGTTATTACTTTTCTTCGCTCCTGCCACTGGTGCGTTTGCTTTCATGTCGCGTGCTGCGCGGACTCACAGCGAGCGTGGTGCAACTAGAGAACGCAAAAAAAAATAATATTTATTTATAAACATAAGCATAGGTTATTTAATACAATATCCTTTAAAGGCATATACGTAAATATGTATATACATACATAACGTGCATATTTATATGTATATGTACGTATTTATTTATGTATGTACATATGCTTGTATTTTACAGAGAAAAATAAGTTAAGAGGATAGTATAATCGTTTGTGCCACAGAAATAAAAAACAACTAAACACTTTTTAACACCCCCAAAATAGTTTGCTACTTGTAGCAGTTATGCAGCCGTCCACATAGACAAAATTTGGCAACGCTAACGCGAACACTAAGCAGAAAGATCGCGTGCGTCGGTCGTTAGCTGTTGCAAATAAATAAAATTATGTGAAATATTTTTTCCTTTTAATCAAATGAGGCCAAAAAATATAATTTTTCATGCAATTATTGATATGAAATAGAGGGCTGCATGAATTCATTCAAAACGACTTATGAATTATTCATATACAAAACGAATGAATGATTTTGGCCTAAAATTTTTTGGAATTTGAGTGAATACCTGTTCTAATATATGTGTCGACATTAGAGTATTCAAAGTGAAAATAAATTGAATTGAAATAAATGACAATTTTTTGTATGAATATCCAAAAATATTTTTCCTGTTCACATACCCACTAGAACTTGAATGGAGATCTCCCTAAGTGAGGAATAAAAGAGTACTCCCCTTGACCTGATTTCGGATCAATAAGAGAGATTTGTGGACTTTTTACTCCCTTATTACTCGTTTAGGAGTCAATAGGGACATCTCCTAAGCTAGCAATTAAAGAATGCTCCCTGAGGCATGATTTGGGAGCAATAAGCGAGATTAGTCGGTTTTGCACTCCTGTATTACTCACTTAGGAGTATAATGGGAGATCTCCCAAGTGAGCAATAAAAGTATCCTCCGGGATACATGATTTCGGAGGTATAAGCGAGATTTGTTGGTTTTGTACTCCGTTATTACTCGCTTAGGAGCAAAGCGAGCAATCCAGGAGTATTCGTTTTAATTGATAGGAGAGGGATTACTCCCCCTCCTAGGACATCCAATGTTAAAGGGAGTATACAAAATTACATGCTTATACACAGAAGCANAGGTTTGTGGGATGATAATTCTGTGTGTGCTCCCCGATTGCTCGTTTAGGAGGTAAAAGGGATTACTCCCCCTCCTAGGACATCCAATGTTAAAGGGAGTATACAAAATTACATGCTTATACACAGAAGCATAGGGAGCAATGGGGAGTATTCGTATACTCCCAAGGGAGTACTCACCGAGCAATCGTACGATGCTCCCAAGTTCTACTGGGTATGTACAAACATACATATGTATGTACGTATGTATTGCTGCGCCCCTCCTTGGGAGCATCGTCCGATTGCTCGGTGAGTACTCTCTTGGGAGTATACGAATACTCCCCATTGCTCCCTATGCTTCTGTGTATAAGCATGTAATTTTGTATACTCCCTTTAACATTGGATGTCCTGGGAGGGGGAGTAATCCCTTTTACCTCCTAAACCAGAAATCGGGGAGCACACACAGAAATATCATCCCACAAACCTCCTAATGGAGCAATGCGGGAGTACTCCCTTAGTTACCTCCCAGAAACCTCCCAAAAAGACAACAAGGGAGTGCACATAGAAAACATCCCACATTCCTCCCGAACGAGTAGTAAGGGAGTACTCCCATAAGAGTCATCCCGGAAGCCTCCTGTACGAGTAATAAAAGAGCGTCTCTAAACCCCCGAATTCCTCCTCATGGAGTAATGGAAGACTACTCCCACATTTCTCCATAACGAGCATTTTACATAAGAGAAAAAGATTTTGTTTTTTACGCAATTCGTTTATTTAATTTTTTAATAATATACATATATACATACTTATGCACATAAATACAAGATTTAAGCTGATTATTACAAAAACAGAAAAAACATAAATAATACTTATTACATCATTAACTAAAATTAGAAAACGGATATCGAACAGTAATGACAAACTCAAACATTATACATACATGCATATATACTTTTATGNAATACAAGATTTAAGCTGATTATTACAAAAACAGAAAAAACATAAATAATACTTATTACATCATTAACTAAAATTAGAAAACGGATATCGAACAGTAATGACAAACTCAAACATTATACATACATGCATATATACTTTTATGCAATCCACAAGATAAGTGTGGCGAGGATGATTTCCTGGAAAAGTTATTTAACTTGTATTCCCCTGGGAGTGGACCACACGATTCACGCCTTGAAAAATTTCCGGCTGTACCCAGTAAAATATCTGGGCGGGACAAGATTGCAACGCTAGAACTTAGACACCTTAAATGCTGGCGCCGTAATCTGAAATATATTTTGAGTTAAATAATACAATCATTTATAAGTTTAAGAGCCAAATTGGCTCTCCAATTTATTTGATTGTTTCCTGATTTTATTTTTTCAATAAGAAATACATATCGTTGCCTTAATATAGAAAGGCCCTATCTCACATCGTCGCTGAAATGCACAAAGCCGTAACTAACTAAAATCTTGTATTGCGTAAAACTATTTGGGGCCACATAATGCGATCAAATGCATCATAATCAATTAAAACGTAAATTTTAGATTTTTAGTTAGTTACGGCTTTTTGTATATCA